ACACACGTGACTTCAGGATAATAGAGCCTGATTTTTAATATTTGGAAATGTTTCTCAAATATTTTCATTTGTTTATGTGTTCCGTTTTCATATACGAGACTTCGATCGTCATCCTCTAAGAATGCTAAGTGCCTGTAATACCCGACAGTTTTATCTAGGCCTATTGTTAAAATATCATTCATTGCTAAATCAATTGATTTTTTGTATTCGGTTGTTGCAGTAGTAATGAAAGTTATACCTCAAACGAACTTAATTTTTAAGGTAATCAAGTATAATGAAATATAGTCGCTCTATCTGAGGTCCCAGCCGTTATGAATGACATAGCAGAGTTTTTGTATACGTTCGGCCGTCTATGTCCTGTACGCATCTGTAATTTCTCTATTTTGTAGGGTTACAGCATCTTAAAGCTCTTCTCCCTTTCATACATGTAAAAGTCAAAGTCTAAAAGCAGTTTCATAACATATTTTAAACTTCTTACGTTAGACTTTTTTCTTTACTTTTTTAACCTCTTAAGTTTTAGGTGATATGTGATCAGCCGATTCGTCCTTGTTCTGTTTTCGAGGATTTTATTTCGATTAAGACTTTTTAGAGGACAGAAAAAGTAAAAAATATGTGCGTGCTTGAATATGTTGTAGTAATTCACCCACTAGTTGTTCGTACAGTACAATGGGCCCAATTGTAGTGATCAGTTGAGCAATATGTAATCGTGAGTAAAATTCAGTATGTAAACCATCACGGTGTCTGAACTGTCATTCATTACCAACGAAAAGAAACTTGTAACCAATTTTGAGTGTATTGACCTGTTTGGATTTAGTAAGCAATAATTTTGATTGCACATTGCTTCGTTAAAGACGAGAAGGTAGTACGATTATGGTTACGTTTCAATATGTATTTCTATATGTATAAATATTTCCACACATAGGAGAAAATTGTACAAATTTACATATAACAACGGTTAATTCTGATTACATGTTGACTCGCTAAAAGACGAAAACGCAAAATGATTATTGTTTTATTTTTACTCAAGTCCGCACACTAATTGATTATCGTTAAATAATAATAAGGTTCAGTTACACTACCAATTGCATCACTCTAATCTAACAGTATAAATGTTGTCGGTGAGTGTACTGTGTTAGCTAGTTCATCATATGCTCCATTCAGTTTTGTCAAGACTAGTTTGTTTCTCCTCATTGTCACCATGTTCCATAATGAGTTAGTAGATATGAGAGACATTGTTAGTTGATCATGAGCATTACTCCTACCAACGCTAGACAAGAGTTTTCGATTTAGTTTTCTTCTCTCATCCGATTTGGAGCAAATATGTGAGAATACGACGTCCACTACCAAGACTGTCTCTATCACCACTGATGGCACTCTCTTTCACTTTTATTAATGATGTCGACTTTCTCCAACGCACTTGCTGATGTGACGTTTTCAACAAATCCATCAACTGTAGTGTGTTGTAGCAGCTACTGAACTTTGATTATAGGACCAAGATCACAAAGAACAATAGAGTAATGCGACCGATGATAACAAGTGGTTCCGAATAATTTTTCGTCCGGGATGAATAAATGTTTTGTTTTAATTTTAGTAATAATTCCTTTGCTTCTTCTCGGATGGAAGTGGTTTAGGCATGGCGAGAAATAAATGATGAATTTAGAGTGTTACAGTAGCTGTCCAAGGAAATGCTGGAAACGGATTTTGATAATTCGATTCCATCACAAATGTGGGAATATTTTCACATACATTACTACGTTTGAATCTCTCTTGACTGTCACAAATAATGAACAGACGACAACCGACTGCTGCGATACTAAGGCGCTTGATTGTAGAGAAAACAGGTTTGCTCTTTCGAAATTCAAGATTTCCTCTTCATTATCGGTCGACGCCGCGGCCGTTTTTGATTTCGCTTTTGCTCTATGCTTCTCTTCTTGTAAAGGTTTCGAATACGCGTCCAGGTAATCAGAGTAGGTAATCGCACATGTATACAATAGAGTAGAGAATCCTTGAGCATCTCTGAGTTCGTCTTGATCTTGTGTGACAATCTTTTTAATAAAGTACGTGGTGGGCTTTTTCCCATCTTATCTGGTGGATTTATTCTTCATGAATGTTCCTACACAAGACTTTTTTCAGAGTTTTTTAATTAAGTGAGTATACAAAATAAAATACCTATTTCTGCTTTGTTGAGTTGTTCGGTATCAAAACCGCCATGATGATGAAGAAGACAGCTTCATGCAGTGCGGTCTCCGGGTGCCTATACGGTTTTTTTCGTATAGCAATATTTTAAAGTTTTTCGCCTTTTGACTCTTCCGTTGTTCGATTTAACTGTCTAACGCAGATTTCTGCTATAGTTTTTGATCGTCTTCAGCAACATGTTGATTTAACTGATCAACATCCTCATCAGTCTTTCTTCCAGCCATACATTTTTTATGATGAATAAAGTAGTCCATCATAAGACATGCTTTTAGACTGCTTTCCTGAATAACGAATGGCAAATTGTAATAAACGTTACACTAATATAAAACTAATACGAAAACAAAACAACTACATGCACATGTCGCATGCAGCTATTAGTGACTTCAATACAACGAGCTGTCAAAAGATATACTTACTTCTTCGATGAGATTAAAATTTGGTTTAATTATTTTGTACTCCACAGCTTTTTTTAGTTAAATCTCGGATATCTTCGTCAAACTGATAATGACCACTTATTCCGTACATTTTCAAAATGTTGCTGATATGTTTAGCAATATGCAATGCTGCGGCAGTTCAATTGACTTGCACCTTTGATTTTGAATGAAAGCTGGCCCAAAACCGTCGTATTCGAGGCATTCTCATTGCATAATAAAGAAATAATTAAGTTTAGCATTCATAATGAGTTTCGCTTTGTTATCAAACTCGTACATAATGCCGGGTGACATCGTTTTTGTTGATTTTGCTATAACTGAAGCTGTCGATACTGTGATGTCGTTTAAACATGCAACTGCAAAAAGCAAATATGACAAACTCAGATAATCTTCATTTATTGATTTGATCTCCTTGGCGAGAGAAGTATATGACTGTGGCGGGACAGGAACGAATTTCTAAAACAGGTCATCACCTTCCGCGTCAACTATAAGCTCAGCTGTGGGGTTATATGGCGTTGGAGAGCCTGAAAATGTAATAGTAGCTATAGCGATTGAATCGCATTATCTTCGTGTTAAAGGTTCATTTTTTTTTCTCGGTGCCTATATCAAAATTACTTTTATAGCAGTTTCAAATGTATCTGTTGAATTATCAAAAATAGCTTAAACAACAGAAGAAAATTTTACAAGCTGTTTGTCAAAAGTAATAAGAATAATGAGAAAAAAGATATCGTAGAAAAAGAGACCGATTTGTTAGATGTACAAAACTTCTTCAACGACAGTTTCATAATGCACAAAAAATAGCTATATGAAGGAAATGAAAGATTGAAACACGCTATTCAAAATCGTGATACCATGAAGCTGATATTACAGAAATATCGAGGGAACTTTTGGTCTTCCTTCAAGGTTAGATGGAAGAGGTTCAGACAATCCACATATGACGGTCTCGTGGCCTGAATCTTTGCGTATAAAAGGTGAGTAGTTTTCATAGACTACACTCCAAAAGTGTTCATACGATGAATGCTTTTATTATAACTCTGTCATTATAAACCTGTTTGTGATCTCAGATATACCAAACGAAAGCTCGATGGCTCTTCAGTACACTCAAAAATGTCTTTTTTGGCGAAATTATAAGATCAACAAGTAGGACGGCTACAGTTTTACTGTCCAAAAGTCTTCATACGATTTTTTTAAAATTCGTTTCTCTTTACGGAAAAATGCTAGAAAGTCTGACAATATCTCAGTTTGAAGGAGAATGAGAGAGTCACATTTTGGCAAAAACATTTTTTGGGAAAAGCCTGGTCCTGAGGCCGAACAGAGGCGTACCTAGAGCGTCCTATTATCGTACTTGATGGTACACTGTAGTTAAGAGATATAGTCGAATCTACCTCAAAGCACTTTATTCGAACACCTGCGTGTTCTAAAGCTGATTGATGCCTTAGAACTATATCTTTCACTACACTTTGACAGGTAAAAGACACGTGTAAAGTTTTGACACTTTATTAGAAGAGAAAAGAAAAAAGTGACACTTCTTTTCTATCACTCAACAAAAAAATGCGACGTTTCAGGTTCAATAATAAGTGTTCGAACCTTTAAGTTTTGGGCTGATTGTAGCAGGTTATGTTGTAAAATATCACGATATATTTCTCCATTCATATTGGCTTCATGAAAGACGAGATTTCCAACGCCCTTTTTAGACATGCAGTCCCGAACTTTCACATTGCCGCCTCCGTAAGACACAGCTGAAATAATACAGCTGGACGATAATTCCTCTCCCTTTCTCCTCCAAACTATGTGTGGACCATCCGAACCGAAAAGATTTATCTTTGATTGATCGCTAAAGAGCATAGTGTCCCAAAACCTTTTTGGTTTAGATGGATAGCTATAAGCATATCCCCAGACGTTTTTTTCGGTGAACCTGTTGTGTTAATAATGACCTTTTTCCAGTCACAAAGTGCATCCTTTCAGCTAACATTGTTAGCTGTTATTACATGGGGACGGCCGATACGATGCAGCGTTTTAACAGTTTTGTGTTTGTTGTACTTCGCAATAATAGATTATATGGTCGCCTTTGAACACAGCATAATCTTAACAATCTCGTTCAAAGCATGGATATCAGAATTCTTGCATTTTCGCTAAGTTGAAAACGCATGCTGTGGAAAAGTGCATACCTAGTTTTTTTTGTCTAGTCCGTCTGTTCAAAGTTACTGCTTTATGTGTACAAACTTAGAGTGTCAAGATTTCATCGACAAAATTGAAGAATGGTGTTCGTTGAATCTAATGTCGTTAAATTATTCGAAGTGTAGCTGGATGTATTTTACTAATCGATCTCCATCTGTTGCCAATCATCTTTACTTTTCTATTAATTCTACAGTAATGAAACGCGAAGAGTCTGTCGTTCTTCTCGGTTTGAAACTTTCGCATAATTTAAGTTGGGGAGCACACGTGAACGATGTAGTTCTTGCATGCAAACGTCGTTTAGGTGTTTTTTATCGTACATTTAAAGATGCTCCAAGGTGTGTTCGATTAAAAATTTATAAGGCATGCATTCTTAGTGAATCAGATTACTGTTCTGTAATATATGATAGTGACTGGTTTAGTTCAAGTCTTGATAAGGTTACAAAGTTAGCATCGCGATTAATATGTAAAAAGTTTGACGGTTCAGTTACGGAGTTAAAAATTGAAACTTCCCGATTTATCTTTGAGAAGGAAATACTTTCGGCTTCTGCATTTCTATAAAATTAAAAATGATTTATCACCACTTTCTAGTTTTCAAACTAAATTGATTGAACCTATAGTAAATCGTAGATCAGATCGGTTAAATTCGGATAGACAAAATTCGCAACAAGTAACAACTATTACTGCGACGAAGGCCCGAGTTGCGTCTTCGTTTTTTTTGCAGGACTGCAATAGAGTGGAACAGTTTACCGGAGGAGGTAGTCTCTTGTCATACAGTAAATCAATTTAAAAGATTACTAAGATCATTTTTGAACGCGTGATTTGTTTGTTTGTTTTTTCTTTCTTTTTTCTACTCATACAATGGCGGTAGCCTTATAATTTATGTTCTTGACTTTTGCTACTTTCCCTTCAGCCATGTGTTTTATCTTAACTTTTCTTCTGGGTTTCATGTGTTTGATGGAATAAATTTCAGTTCAGTTCAGTTCAAAGTTACTGATATATATATATAGATATTCATCCTCTCCAGACAATCATGGCGGCCAAACCTATGAAGATTGATACTGTTTTGTACAATGGATATGATATTGGATAAAAACGTATAGGTGTATTGGATAAGGTAACGGCATTTCTGCTAAGCTTATGAAAGATGTCGCAAATGTTAGAAGGATGCATGTGTAGAATGGATGAATATCTAGATATAAATGTCTAGAGAGGAGTCATAGTTTATCTTTTTCGTGTAGAAGAAGTTGCCTGCAGTCTCGAAAATAATTTGTTTGCTGTCTGCTAACCGAGAATATGTTGATTCTTGTTTTATTTTTACTGTTTAACATAACGGAAAATGAGTAGGGAATTATGAAGCTTCTGTACTTTGTAAACAGTACTCTTCCGTTTTCTTGGCTTCTTCGTTCTATGGCAAGTCCAGGCAAATGCACTACACATAGTACGAGGAAACTGGAAAAAAATTCTTCATAAAAATCATGACTGATTTTTCGTCTTTCGTCCCTTTTTCTTTCTTCTCTCTACTCGATCGATAGTGGCATTCAGAATCGAAAGAAGAAGAGTAAAAATAATGTAAGAAATAGAGAGAAGGGTTCGAAAGATGCCAGTCGTTGCTGTATAACTATTCAACCGACAGACGTGCAAGAAAATAATGTCACTTGATTGAAAAAGAAGAGACGGTGTTTTTATCGTACTCTGCATATTTTTCAGATAAGGAATTGTATACTTTACAAAGATATCTTATTATTTAACAAATACATTGATATTGAATAAGGTATTGCAGTTAAACAACAACCATTCTTGTGACAAATCTGACATTCTTCTAGACTGTAATTGGATGGCTGAGTCTATCTCTACAGATGTGTTTGTGCCACTTTTTTAAATTTCTCTAACATAGTTTTTCTTATATTATCATATGGAATGCATACTAAACAGAAGCCTTGAGTTCTGGTCTGTCAGCAAAAATCTGGTATATATACCCAAAAACTTCATTGTTTCAGATTTTTGATGTTATTAAAATTATAGTTTCTTCTCTAATTTCAGAAATAAAATAAACCATAACCTAAAGCACTTATAACCAAGTGACGTGAAATATGGACAATAATAGACAAGTGACCGATCTTATAGACACAGAAATATTGCAATTTATACATGATCTAGCCGACGAAATCAAGTCTGGCATGAAGAAATCTGGTGAATCGGTTCACTCTGCTTATCGTTCTACATACAAGGAATGGAAAGAAAAGTACTTGCCAAAAAATCTCACCGAGCGATTTAAATCACTCAATCAAGATAACTGGTCTGTTCAAGTAATGGAATGGTTACGCGAAGACATAGAAAAGGTTTTAGAGCAAATATTTTCAATTCTTTGTGCTGATGAGATTTCAGTTGGTGAGTTACTACCGTAAATACCAGTAACTTTCAAGAAAAGACACAGAAAGTTAACATTGAACTGGCAACTCGAGTGTCAGACCTCGACTTCAACAAGAAGGATATTAAAGACTTTGAGTCTTTTACAGATTTCATTAAGGACTACTAGGGTAACATTTGTTGTGACAGCGGAAAGATTGTGTACATCGATGAGTTTATCAATGTATAAGAAACATTCTCGAACAATATTCCAGTGCAATCCACACATGTTCAGTCTGAAGTCGTCCGTAATGATTTGTTACATATTGTCAAAGAGGAACTAAAGCATATTCTTGAAACAAGTGGTAGATGCAAAGTTTTAACACAAATGGGAAATATTTCTCGATGCCTCCATTCATACACTAATCGAGAAAAATACTATTTACGTGGACCATTCATTGCATTGAAAGATAATTGAGATCAACTGCTTCTTGATGCCGCTGGAATGCGTTTTAAAGCTATATTCGGAAGCGACAGAAATTTTGAACAGAAATTACTAAGATTAAAAGTAAATAACTTAATAGTAAAAGTACATAAGTTATTAGAACACCTAAAGAACTTACAACAGAAATTATTGTGAACAAAAGTGCTTATGAACCGCTTAATTCTTCTTGACTGCACAGAAGAAAACACGATTAATCACAAATATTTGATTGAAAAATTAGTTGATTCTAACCGTTGTCAACGTTTAACTCAAGGAGTAAAGAAAATAGTTTATTCTTTACTGCATGATCGTAATACAGTTGATGATGATTTATTCCTATATAATCACTTGATATAATTCTGTCTTGTTAGTACTAACAAGACAGAAATAGACTCTCGGATTCAAAAAATTCTTGAACTTTTGATGGACATATTATTCGCAATCCACGATCGGAACTTAAGTTGAACACTATTACAAACGCTAGTTTCTTAAAACACGATGTCTCTTATCAAACCGTATTTCCATCAAATTACGCATTTCCACCTATAACAAAGACGCTAGAATTGTTATTCACTGTTATGGGAATTAACAGAACGTTCACTTCTAAGAATTTATATACAAAAGTTTTCAGCAAATAGTTCGGTTGAAATAACTGTTGCCGGTGTCAAAGGTGATCCTGGAACTGATTTAAATCAGTTAAATACTCCGACGGATGTAACACTAGATCAGTAGGGTAATATATATGTCGCTGATGCTAATAATTTTCGTATACAACGAAAGAGTAGTAGAGATGGTATTACACAAACAATTGCTGATAGAACTGGTATCTCTGGAAATGATGCAAACCATTTCCCCTATCCATTCAGTGTAGATTTTGATTCAAAAATGAATTTATATGTGAGTGATCAGTTTAATCATCGTGTTCAAAAGTTTTTATTTGAAAGCGGAGATTTGTATTGTTAAAAAGAACGGATTTTCGAAATAAAACGATTTGATTTGACTTCTGGTAAATTACTGAGGGGAGTACATCTTGACTAAAGAAGTGTTTATTCCCATAGAGGTTTCTTTAGCATGTTTGTTGGTTTGTTGGTTTGTTGTTTAGAGGTTTGTTTAAGCACAGAAGAAAAAGAAGCACATGTCTAGAACACAATGTATTTATCCTTCGTTCTCTTTTAACGTATATAACAGATATACATCATCTTTAGATGATAAAAAAAAACATTATATGATTACAGACGAAGAAGAGGAAAATATGAGGTCAGTGTACTTGATCCTAGCTTCGTGCAACGATTTATTTAATGGGAATTCATATTCTGGCTTTCTTACTGTTTCAAAGAAACAGCCTAAACCAAGTCTGCGAAAGCAAAGAATGATTAGTTTGAAAAATTTTCCTCTACGGTGTGCGAAGGAAAAACCTTGCTGTAATCTTACCGTGATCCCGTCACAGTTTTGAAATACAAACTGGAACGGGATCTTATTACTGATTTGATTAAGAACGCGATTACAATTATAACATCACGATTTTATTTTGTCAAGATCAGCATTTTCTCGTTATACGAGACAAAATTGTGTTCGCGATCAGATCTCAGCAAAAATGAAACGGGAATGCCACTAGGGTCGCCCGCTGACCTCGCTGCTCTTTTTATCTCGCTATTACGCGGATAGATAGACAGATAGATCTATTTTACACAAAGGTAGGATATCATGAAAAAGTAGCAAAAAGACTTGTGGCATCCGGAGCCATCTCATGATAACCTAAACTAAAAAGTTTCTAGAAAGAACCGTTACTATAAGACAATATCTCTTTCATTACATGCAAAGGGTTTTCGTAATTACTCTTCCTTTTTCTACAATTTTTTATCTTATTGCACTCTTTAATGTACGTTAATAACGCGTTACTTACGAAGAATTAACGTGCTCTAACGTATGAAATAAGATATCCCGTTAAAACGCGCTATTTGCACCATTTAATGCCGTACCGGACACAATGTGTTAACGCGTTACAACAGTATAAAATCTATACTCCGTCACAACGCTTGGCCCTTTTTCCGATGAATTGTATCACTTCAAGTGACGACGTTGATTATGTCGACGCCAAAAAAGAAGTGAAGATGTAATTATAAGGAACCTGTTGTTGGATTCACCGACAAATTTTGCACCTGGTGCCCAATTTTTATCCAATTTGGTTCAGCGCGGAGCAAGCACCAAATTTTCTAATGTTAACGCTGTAAAAGTATCGGAAAATAATTTATTTGCCACGCATCGAGATACAGAAGAATATTGCGATAAATACTATCTTTGTTGTCTTAAATAAACTTATCTAGCTTTATTGAGCTAAAATATATTTGCAATGTTCTCGAGATAATAAGTTTCATCGCGATGCATATTAGCACTAGCGCAATGCTTTATTTTTCCTTGACAAATACTAGAGTTATCCGGCTTGTCCACGTAACGCGACACTTCGTTGATCAAGTTTATAAAAAAACATTTTCGCTTTCGAAAATTTTGAACACATCACTAGATGTAATTTTTAATTCTAAAGACCCGTTTAAAACGCTTTTTTGATAAAGGTTGGTTTTTGAGTCTCAAAACCGGTTTTTGAACATTTCAAAAATCGCATTTTCTATTTTTAGCCGAGATAGTTTTCGAAAAATAAATTTCCGAACATATGGTTTCGTAGAAAATTTAATTCTCTACAAAATGGCGTATTTAGTTTTGAGCTTCAGCCCTTTAGAAAATTTGTACATATTTGTACATTTTCCGACTTAATTTACAGTTTTTGACCCTCCAACCCGTGGTAGCGACTTTATTCTTGCGTATATCGGCTGACTGTGGCACGAATAATTATCTGTATAATATCAAAATCTCCTGATCATGTTGAGTCCCTCGAAAACACTCGACAAAAGTAGTGCGTAACACCGTTACGTTTATGTTTTGATGTTTTTGCCTTAACTGAAGATGTTGAGAAAATTCTTTTTTTACCATCGGATAGCCCGTTTGGTGCTCTACAATTCCTGTGCTAAAAACTTTTCATTATGACCTTTACCTTTGTCGGAATTCACGTTTTTGTTGATAGCACTCGAGGAAAAGGGTCTTTTTTCGTAACACCGTTACGGCCTACAAAAACCGTCCTCAAAATTCGAGACTTCATGCAAAAAAATTTGTTTTTATATCGTAAATGGGGGTCGACAAGCTGCATCGAATGGCGTTTAAATGAGCTTTTTAACTGTTTTAGTTTCCGAGATAATTTCATTTTAATGCGTCTAAAACGTAACACCGTTACGTTTGGACAAGCCGTATCGCGGAAAAAAGCTTCTTTATCGAAGCAGTATTTTATCTCAGTAGAGACCGATAAATTTATTTTGCCGTGATAGTTCTAATGTTTAGCGCGATATTTCATTGACTAGGTAAAATTATCGTCTCTAATCGAGATATTTTATAGAAAAAAAACCTCATGGGTACAATGACGAAAGAGTTAAAGAAAATTAGACCATTTGTTTTATTTTATTTTAGCGGCTGACCTAGATTAAAATATATGCGACGTAAATATATAACGTCGAAGATGACCTTTATTATATGAACTTGAATGGAAGGGTTGATGAAGAATACATCTCGATAATCTCTTGAGGTTCAACGAAAATACTCCTTATAGTTTTTTCTATTCTGTTTCCTAAATTCATATCTAGCATTTTGGTTTCGTTGTGTGGTTTCTGTAGTCGAATTACTAATATCCTTAGTTATATTTACTGGATAATACGGTTCTCCTGATCTCGGTTTAATCCACTGTTTTATGGTGGGTTTCCAATGTGGACTAATTTGTTCGTATCAATTATAATCTAAATTTGCTATGGTGTACACTGTCTCTAGTGTTTTTCTTCTATTCCAGTTCTCTTTATCAAATATCATACTGTTTTCGAAATCTGTGAAACATGCTTTACCATTTTCCTGACGCTGCGCCAATTTTGAGCCCTTTATATCTCTTTGTTTCACTTTTTTAATATGTTCATCTATCCTCCGTTTAAACATGCATGTCTCACCCACATACATGTCAGCACACATACAGGGTATACGATACACTACGTCTTTTCCTCGTTTGTCTAAAAGGTTTTCATCCTGTGCTACATTCTGTACAATTTTTCTTGTTTTATGAAAGAATCTTGCTATGATCGGATTCAAACTCTAATAAACGGATACTCACCGTCTTTTTCCTAAACCAATTTGTTTCTATCACTTCTTTCTCTGTATTGATGTGTATGCACACATCTAGAAATGTAATAGTATTATTTTTCTCAAACTCAAATGTAAATTGTAACGCTTTAAAATTATTTAAATACTCCACCAGTTCTTTTATTGTATCTCTATTCATCTCTGACATTAAGGGTGCTTCCCTCCCTCTCTTTTTTTACCATCTTGGAAACCGGGGAAGCCGATCGGGTTCAAATTTATACCAGAGATAGAACATCGAAAAATAAAATCGATGTATTTTTGCTCAGAATTTTCTGACGTGTTTTTCTATGGGTTTTCTGTAAAACTCCAGTTTTCATCCAGTCACATTACAACCCCCCGAAAAAATGGTCTGATCGAGCTCACAATTTTACCACAGATACTGCAGATCCTATCTTAGATTGGGCTTTTTTATTTTTGAAAAATATGCTTTCTTTGTCGAGATATTCGAAAAATACTGAAAATCCCACATAAAAACTGGTTTTTCACTTTGAAAACCTTCTCACGCCGAAAGTTAAAATCGAAAACGCTTTAAAAATAAAACGAACCTGAGATAGAGTGTGAAGTATCTGTGGTAAAATTTTGAGCTTGATCGGACCATTTTTTCGAGGAGTCGTAATGTGTGCCAATTGAAGGGAGTATTAAAAAACGCATAGTGAGAAAACACATATTGTACACACGACTCTGTTTTTCAGGGCATTTGTGGCAATGCTTATATCTATAAGAAAAGTTATCGGAAAATTCTGGAAAACATCTATTTTTGAAGAGCACACTTTCTTCTATCATGCTATATATAAGAAAAAAGTTTGAATATATAGAAAAGGAGAGAAAAATTTACGAACCTAAAAATTGAGATTTT